TCTTTCCCTTGCTTGAACATGAATGCTGCAAAGCGTCAATATTTAATGTGCATCATATAAGGAAAAACAAAAAAAACAAAAAAAACAAAACTTTTATACATACAACATTATAAGTCCAGAGTGACGATTATCACTAGTCACCAGTAAGTCTTGATCAATAAAACAGTTTCATGACAAATATGAAATATTACAACAATTCTATTCAAAGTGATGACAACTATCAATGTTCTAATTGACCATTCCCATGAAAAAAATAACAGAAATACCCTGGTTGAATTTTCATATAAACGTCAGTACAGCTTTAAATATTGAGACGCCACAAGGAATAACGTCAATATTGTCACTTTAACGCTACTTTTTTTTAATACAAGTTAACATGATAATTGAATTTGAAGTATATCCCTTACCAATATGTCTATCTTTTATTTTTTATTTTTGTGTTGTTCATATTTTTATATTACTCTATTAAGATCGCTAGTCAATAGTTCATGCCTTGTTTAAAAATCATCGTATTAGTAGAGTCAGAAATAAGTTATAGAAAGTGTTGCGTCAAATTATTTATTTCTCATTGGCAAAGTCAAATAAAGAGCGCCGGTATACCGTGAAGTTGCATAATAAGTGCTAAAAGACAAAAGGATCACAAGGTAGGATTTGTTACAGTGTTTTATCTTATAAAAATTTTAAATTTATGTTTAAACTTTATGCTCTAAAGAGGACATATCCAGACTTAATCTTACATCAAGTAGTGGTGAAGCTAAGTGGAGCGGAGCCGCGCCCCACTAAGATTTTTCTAAAAAAAAAGAAAAACATTTTACCTTTAAAAAATTATAGTTTTCCTACTTTGCTCACACTTAAAATCAACTCTATCGTGGTTGCAGGCATAACATAACGGTAATTGTACACTTGATTCCATAGGTGTGAAGTTTGAATCCCCACCCCCAAATTAAAAAAAAAAATCAACCATGTCAAGTCAGCCTCTATTTGTTTTACTCTTTTTTATTGTAAAATCTCATAGGTCAAAATAAAACAATTTGAAAAAAAAAAAAAAAAAAAAAACAGAGAGATTCGACCCTACTTGAAAAATATTATTTTATATATTTTTCACGTTAATTATTTCTGAAAAAAAAAAAAAAGAGTATACGCCAAGCTAGCTCCGTCACTAGCGTCAATAAAGGGAAAACCCACCTCATTTATCACGTGAGATGAGGCTCGCCCTTTGTGAGAAACCGATCGAGCCCAAATAGTGATGTTCTTAAGGGTTGTTTTTTCTTCTTTAATTAATTAAGTCAATATATTCTTAAAAGGAATAGTCCTATTTTAACTCGTCATTTGAACAAGTTTAATTTAACTGTTCTAAATTAAGATTTTCATCTATCTAAATATTAAAATATTAACAAACAGGGCAAACTTTATTTTCTAATACTCGTGCTTTGATATGATTATGAAATTAATTTATCTTAAATTAGTCATTTCGTCAATTCTAACAGTAGGATTGACGAGATGACTAATTTAAGATAAATTTATAAGCTGAAGACTTGTCCTAAAATATTTAAAAATTATTTACTAGAATAATATTTGACGTTAGAACTCAAATTAACATTTTTTTTTTTTTGAAAAAGATTTCTTATAAGATCGGCACGCTCTTACCTGATATCCTTACAAGGGAACACTGCAGCCTCGGCTCAGCCGTAATTCCAAGCCGCGCCAGATTCGAAGCCGACCCCCACCTCCAAATGGCTTCCTCCGCGAACCCGCAGGCCGCCATCTTATGCGCCAGCCAGTGGAGCTCCGCCATCAGCTTCTCCGCCGAGCCACCAAGCCGTCTCGGCGGGTGCCCGGCCCCCCCCGCCTGCCTGACCCCCACAAACATCCCCAGCCTCGCCTTGGCATACTCCCCAACCACCCAAACCGGCCGCAGTACAAGCCCCCCGAACCGGGAATTTACGGGTCCAGCCGGCCGACCGCCCTCCGCCGCCAAACCAGCCTCCAACGCCCGCTCCTCAAACGCCGCTTCGAGCTGACAAAGAGTCCTCGCGAAAGCCGCCGAAAGAACCGTCCGGTTAACTTTACGCAGAGCAGGAGCGCCATTCTTCTGATTGTCGTCTATAATCTTCTCCACCAACAACCAGACAACCTCGTACTTTCGAGAGCTGACCGGAATCTCGTTGGCGATGGACAGAAGCTGGGAAAGGGCCCGGGCTATGCCGGAATCACCGGCGAAGGACAAACTCGCCGTTCTAATTCTGTCGCCGTCTCCGTCGTCACTAGTGGGAACATAATAAAAGTCGTCCTTCTTCGAGGGCTTATGGAAGGAATCGAGATCGAAATCGAGGGAGGGGAAGAGAGAAGGGAGAGCGCGGAGGACGAAGAGGAAGATGGTGAGGATGAGGGAGCGGCAGTGCTGGAGGAGTTTGTGCTTTTGGGATAAGCTGAGAAGGGAGCTGTCGGCGTACATGAAGGCTGAGGAGACGATGTTTCGGACAAGCAAAGGGGCTATGGTTAGTGCTGGAGAGGCTAATTCCATTGCGCCCATGTCGATATTTTTTTTTTCTTTTTTCTTTTTCGTTTTAAATGTCTTTTATTTTATTTTATTTTTTTTCGATGCTGATTCTGGTATTACTTTGGTATATGTTTCTTTCCTTATTTTTGGTGCTCGTTGCGTGAGAAGATGGGGTTTTAAAGATGTCAAAAAGTAAACGGGGAGGACGAGTGGTCCAGGACAACTTCCTCTTTTTCTATTATATATATATTTTGATTTTTTTTAAAAAAACTTTAATATGTTTGTATGCATGCATAAATGCATGCATGATATGCGATAGATCCCGTTCACTTCGTTGATTCGAGTTTAGAATTCGAGTTTTTCTATAGTAAAAAGCTCTCACAAACAATCACATCTAACTTTTTTGCTACAGTAAAAAGCTCTCACATAAAATCACATCTTAACTCGAATTCTAAACTCGAATCAGCGAAGTGAACGGACAATGTGCCAGATTTTGAGTCCCAAAAAAAAGAAAGCAAGAAAAAAAAAAAAAAGTAGGTGATGATGCCATGATTCGGATCCTGTTTTAAGACAGCAGATATAGATACCTTTTTCACAGCAGTTGTTTTTGAGTTTTTACTTTTATTATTATTAGGTTTTTAAATAAGATTAAGGACAATAATTTATTCAATTGAAACAAATATTATACTCGTAGATCTTACAAGATCAATAAAACAAACGTTTTTATTATTGTTAGGACCAGACATACTATGATTCAGTATTCTTTATGCATAGAACACCTTAATAACACCCTGTTAAAATAAAACAAAAAATGCAGAATAATAAATAACACAGCAAGAAACCACAGGTGCTAACAACACCAAAGAGGAATTCACTATCACCAAATTACAATTCAAGTGATTGGAATTTTAAGAAAACTCTGAATCTACAACAATACCTAACCCAAGATGACTCCTCTTATCTCGCCTTCAGACAACTCGTCTTACTCCGTGTCTTCTACTCGCCTTCGGTACTACATACTCCAAGCACAATGCCCGCATTCAGTCCTCCTGACTCACTCCGAGCTAACGATCAGCCTTTGGCTCCTCATTAGACCTACTATGAATTCTTCACAAGAGTCTGCAGACAACGGCGTTAAAGAACAATAAATAAAGCCTAGGGTACTCGCTCTGGTTTTCTCTCACAATTAAGCTCAAATGAGAAGACTTAAATTTTTCTCTTCGATAGACAATCAAGTTCTCAGCCTAGGTGCTCTATCGAGAATTACACAAGATTCTCCTTAAATAATGAAACTGCTAGATATAAGAAAGATCTAAAATTCTCCCTACTTGATCTAAGTTGAGATCTAATTGCGATCGCTACTTCAATTTGAATTTCAGTTGTTGAAAATCTTCAAAGTTAAATCTTCCCGAAATTTCACTGTCTTATAATTCGTTGTACGAACAACATCTTGAACTTGCACATTGTGTAGACAGACAACTCATTTTCTGATCTTGTCATCTAAACAGAGTACCTAAATCTGTAGTATTAAGACACTCAAAACAGATTGACGTCGTCTGTTAGTTTAAATTCAAACTAGATCCGAATAGAATATGCAAAACCCTGCAAATAACCACCAGAAAACTTAGTCAACATGTAGAATAATCCTAAGATGAATCTAGACTCAATTTAGAACCAGGATTAACTCTACAAAAGCAGACCTAGAGAAAATATCCGAGTAATCTGGTAAGTTTAGGATTTTAATATCTAAAACTTAAATTTAAAATAAAAAACACAATCCACATAAAATCTATGCAGAATTCTCAAAGTAAAAAACCCGAATTCTAGAAGATAAACCAAACATAAGTTAAACTTTTAAATCACAAGTTTATCTGCAAAACAAATCGACTTAATTCGGCAACAATTAATTAAATAATTTTGATACAAGGTTTTTTTTTTTCTTCTTTTTGGTGGAATTTTGATATAAGGTTGCCAACATAATAAACTTAGGAATAAAATTCCTAACCATTATAATAAACAATATGGCTAAATCAATGTTTCTACTATAATATGGAGGATTTTTTCATCCACATTTTAATTGGCATGCACTTAACTCCTCGAAGTAGATAAAATCGAGTTTTAGAAGAAATAAGCCTTCGGCTTCTTCAAGTTGTTGTATGCTTGATGTTAGGCTCTTCATATTGATACAATAATGAATCTAATTTCTTATATCACATACTCAAAAACTACAAATCTAACAAGAGATCACATAAACACACAAAAATAATAGACTGATTAAGCACGTATTACCTCAACCAAATTAAGATCTGATAGGCATAAACTTATTACCACTACAAAATAAGATTAAGTGGATATATAGTTTTATTTTTATTCATTATAAATAGGAAAAATAAAAAAAAAACATACCTCGTGTTTAGTTAGAATACCATTTTTATCCCTCTTATTATTGAAATGCTTAAATCATCTTCTATGATTTTTTAAAATTACACATTCATCCCTTGTACTTTTAAAAAATCCAAAAATAATCTATTATCCTACGTTTGACCAGCTAAAATTTTAAAATATCTAAATTATCCTCGATAATCTGTTAGGAAAAATAACACTCTTCTATTAAGTGAAAATACCACTTTTTGAGTAAAAGAGTAGGTGTTTTGGTTTTTTTTAATAAATATACTGAAACTACAGAGTAGAAAAGAAGAAAATAGGGCATATACCCATACTTACCTCCTGCAAAGTATACATATCGAGACAAGAAAAGAGGAACTGTTGACGGTGAAAATTAGTCAACATGTTAATAACAAATTTTTTGGTGATTTGTGAGTGGATTAAGGATGAGATTCAGGGAAAAAGAAGAATAATAATACCGAAATTTATAGTGGTTCACTCCAATATAGAGCTACATCCACTAAGAGGGTTTTATTATTCTTTTAAGAAATTACAAATTCTAGAGAGAGAGATGTTCTAGAATCTGACCCCTCTCAGGCTATTCTCCCTGTATATATACATGATATTGCCTCTGTCACTTATTAATTATTTAATCAAATCTCGTGATATCTTCACCAAACTCCAAAACAGTAGTCTCTGATCACCGAGATTTCAACCAGCCTGCCTGATTTTCTCCACCGGCTTCGCCACTTACTCTGCATGAATTTAATGCACGTCAAATCTCTGTATAGTTGTCACTTCAATCTGGACGTGGATGGGTTTGTCGCCTTCAGCTCTTTAGAAGCGGTCTTCGCTCATGGCTAATAAAGCATTCGTCTCTATGTTATGGTCTTTCTTTCCTGCAGTCGACCCCTTCAGCGGAGTTACTTAATCGTTAAGGGTCGGCGTCCATAAAGTGCACTCTACTAACTATTCCGTACCTTCCTGACTCAATTATTTTATGCTTTAATTGCGTCACGTGGCGCCCAGCTATTGCCTCATCGGTTTAAGATTTTACCCCACAATAGGAACCACAACGAGTTACTTGCTTCAGTGAAAATGCCAAAAGGGTACTCTTCTAATTTTAAGAACTCGGTATATGCGAATGACTTGAAACTTGTTAGAATAAAGGCATATGGTTGTTGGTTTCAACAACTTTTGTCACTTGTCTTGTGTGGAATTTTTACTAACGAGGTGAGAAATGCATTTCTTAAGTTTGGTTCATTCTTCAACTTCATATTCAACGGTCATTGATCCATTCGTGCTTGATAGACGGCAATTAGTTTTAGTGAAAACCTTGTGCGTGCTTGGGAAGTATTTTTTACATTCTTCGACATAATGATTCATCTAATTGTACACATAATTCGTGACGTCAGGCTATGCAGGCTTATGTACTTGAGATGCATGTACCTCTTTTGAAAGACATGTGACGATTTTTAAGGGTTATTTAAAAAACCAGAATATACCGTGTTAGGATTAGTGCCCTAAAGAATAAATAGAATGGATGTATTTTAAACATTTGAGATCAATAAAAAATAATGCATTTAATTCATTTATTAATGTGTCATATTTACTTTCATGTTGTTAATTGTAACTACAAGAATTTGAATTTTTTATTACCAAAAATTTGGTAACCAAAAGTCCTGTTTTTTATAGTAAAATGTTTTTGTTACCAAAAAATTTTGGTAGTAAAAAGTGCGTAGCAGAAAGTATTAGTTACCAATATTTTGGTAGTAAATAGTTTTTGCTACTAACAATTTTTTTGGTAGCAAAATGTATGATATTTGGAGACCAAAAATTTCGGTAGCAAAAAGTGTGAGATTTAGGACATCGAAATTTTGGTAGCAAAATATATTTAGTAGTAAAAGGTACAAGATTCAGTCACCAAATATTTGGTAACAAAAGGTATTTAGTAGCGAAAACCATAAGATTTAGGGACCAAGTATTTGGTATTAAATTGTATTTGGTAGCAAAATGTATGAGATTTGGTGACCAAATATTTGGTAGCAAAAGGTATTTGGTAGCAAAAAATATGAGATTTAGGGACTCAAATTTTTGGTAGCAAAATGTATTTGGTAACGAAAAGTACAAGATTTAAGTACCAAATATTTAATAGTAAATAACTAATTTGTTGCTACAAAATTTTTTTGGTCACCGAAACTGAGACATATTTATATACTTGTATTTTTTTTTCAAAAAATATATATAAATAAAATACCAAATATTAATTTAAAAATCTCTAAATATTTCAATAGATATTAGAATCCAAACAAAATAACTTAAGCAAACCCAAACACTTTTGCAAATATTGTACTAGTAAAGTCTTAATATTACAAGAATTAAACGATCTACCAAATTGAGGCCGGTGGTGGCGGTGGAGGATGATCTTCTCTTCTTGGGACGGAAGGTCCAGGATGATTTGATGACAGATTTATCTGCTGAAGTAACTTTTGAATAAGCTTCTGTTGTTGATCCCTCTAGTAGTTCACTTAAACAAGCATCGCAAGTCTTGATCATTTGTTCTTGCATTATAAACTTTCAAGTTAGAGTAAAAAAAAAATACAAAATCAAACGAAATGATAAAGTGTTTAGTAATTCTTACATAATCTTTTTGCCACTAAAATATGAATTTGGTAGTAAAATCTTGTTTTCTGCTACCAAAATTTGGTAGCAAAAAATAATGTTTTTTGGTAGCAAAACCTTGATTTTTCGCTACTAAATTTTGGTGGCAGATA